TCTAGCTCGACCATGCTAGAGAGAGAGGCTAGGGATTTGTTTTGGCTAGCTGAAGTAGTGGGTTGTTCATTGGTAGAGGTGGAGGGTTCATGTGAACGTTTTGCGCCACGGAGACTGTCACGGCATGTGTTCTGTGTATCTAGAGCATGGAGAAGGGCTTTTTGGAGAGAGGTAAGGTTTCCTTCATCCAAGTCTAGGATACGGTCGTAGATCTCAGCTACAAGATCCTCGAAGTGTATGATTTTTAGGTCGGGTTTGGTCGTTGTAGGGGAGAATACTAGTTCTGTATCCTGGGTTCCCCTTGATGTGGATGGTTGTTGGTTTTCTATGGCTAAGGGTTTGGAAATAGGAATGGAAATGGTTGGGGGATGTGTTGTTTGGGGTGTAGTGGGTACATCTTGAGTAGCTTGGGTGCTTCCAGAGCCTTGTGCACTAGCAGTTAATGCTTCATGCACCCATGGTTTAATGGTAGACTCTAGAAAGCTGTTCAAGTGTACGAGAAGATCTTTGGGGAAAATGGTTCCAGATACAGGGGTCGTAACTGTTGTCACAGCATCAGTGAAGATAGCTGCTGTGTGGCCTGCGTTCAATGGTCGAGGCATTGTTGGCGTAGCAGGACTTCCGACCATCATAGTTTGCACTCCGGTCGTTGCGTTCAGGGTGAGTGCACCTGTATGTGCAGTGAATAGTGTAGGTGTCCTAGAAAAATTTAAAAATGTAGGAATGGTGACACCTAGACTCGATGTGATAGAACGAATGGGGGTAGTAGTCCGGGGTTGTTGACCACTAAGATTCTCAACTGATTCGGAGGGAACCAGTGAGTTCGGTAAAATCTCCCCTTGAGTTATTGAAACTCCAGCCTGTTGGGAGGCTGGAGAGTGGCTGGGAGAGGGCTGTGCATGCGCAGTTGAACCGGATGCTGCGACTTCTACTCGGGAACTGACAAGGTCGGCTCCTGCACCTAGGGGCGTGGTTCGGTCTATGGTGAGAAAGGTGTCGCATTCATCGTACAGTGCCATCTCCTCCTCTACTGCACTTCTCTTTCTCAGCCTCTTCTTAGGCTTGGATGATGCAGATTTGTCGCTGTTGTGCTTGGAGCGCTGCTCATTTATGACTATGCCTTTGAGCGGTCGGGATGTGAGAGTAGCCTCTATATCGTCCGATGAGGAGTCAGAGTCTATCGGAATCGCCTGTTTTCCGGCTCTTTTTTTGTTGCTGATTAGGACTCCCTCCATGTCATCATCATCATTGTCTGCATCATCATCATTACTCCGCTCATTTCCCTTGGCCATGCTATCGGAGGCCTCACCACCAGCCTTATTTGAAGGGGCCTGGCTTGATGGTTCATCGGCAGTGTCCTCAGCATTGGTGGGGTGGCCCTCAGCAGTCTGGGTCCTCTCGGAAGAGTTAGCAGACTGATCATCATTAGGCCGGGTTGCCACTGGTTTTTGTGGCTTGGGGGCACTCTTCTTTTTCTTACCCTCACTAGCTCTCGGCTTGGTTCCTGGTGAAGGTCCAGCTGGGTTTTGCTGAACCATAGGAACCGTTTTCTTTAGCGACTCTTTATAGTCGATGACCGCCTTGTCCCTCGGGTTTGCTAGATTGAGCAGAGAGTCCGGGATTAGCAGTGCTTCAGCTTTATTGCTGTCTCTCTGAAAGTACTTGAGCTTTGGGGCGATGAAGTGCTTGTCCTCCTTACGCTTTGGGATTGTGGGGGTGGCTTCCATCATATTGTGGATCATCAGCGCCAGCCACCGAGCGTAGGGAATAGTGCTTCCCTTGTTGTTCTCCTTTGTCTTCACTTGATCCATCAGCTCCGTCCAGAAGAGTTGGGCCATGTCATACTGCTTGTCAAATGCGATCCCATGGAAGATTTGCAGGATCTGCTTGTTACACTTATCATGTCTGGCGTGCTTAAGAGATAGGCACTTGTTGACCAGGCCGAACAGACTCTTCCATGGGTGGGGCAGGTTGGAGATAGTGAAATTTGACAGCAGAGGCAGTGGGCTGTCATATCCAAGATCTTTCATCCCCTTGATCAGCTCTTCGTTTGAAGGGAGTGGTGCATAGTTCTTGAGCACCGGGAGCTTTAGTGTCTCCCTGATTGTGGAGGGTGTCAGCACCACTCTCACATCGTTCATTGTGAGAGTTTAATTGTGGAGCTTTAGTGTCTCCCTGATTACTAGAAACGATCAACGAATCGATGGTTAATTGTTGATGGTTTCACAAGTAAGTAACTTCGGTTTATTAATGCACGGTCGTGGTTAATAAACTTAAGAGGATTAATTTTATTGGTTAAACCGAAATTGTTGTGTTGAGGTTATCAATCTCAATTGATTTCATCAAGAAGTTAAGAGATTAAATGCTACTATCAAGTCGGTATATGGCGGTGTTCTATAATTGACTAATAGTAAGCTAGGGTTATTAATGAACAGTCGTTGTTAATAACTACCCTCGATGAATTGGATATACTCCTCGATTGAGTATTCGAGGGGGGATAAGTTATAGATATAACAATGATCGACTAAAATATATCAACAAGTGGAAAGTAGGAATGTCAAGTCCTTTTTATCTTTGAATAAATCACATATAAGTCGTTCATCTTCGTGTTTAATTAAATTAAATCATTCAACCATAAAACCCCCCTTTTATTTACTAGTTATTTGAAAAGAGAATTATTCATTTCCATGTGGATACGAACTCTATTACGCTATACTACATATAAGTGTTAGTATTGAATTTATTTTGACGCACCATGACAAAGTACTCGTCATTCATGTATAGTACTATCTATGTATTTATAATAAATTACATTGAAAACTACATTTGTTTTGTTCACTTCCATTAAAATTACAAAAATTGCATTATAAACAAAATCAAATTTGTATTTCATTTTATGAATATAATTCACGATACGGATTGATTAAAACATAAAATAAACTAACCAATGTTGTTATTCAAATAATCAAAATACGGAGTACATATTTTCATTTTTAAAAATATCACGGACTTACAATTTTAAACAACTAACCTTATTTAAGAAAAAACTTTATTCGGATTTAAAAAAGAACACAAACAACACTCTAGTCCTAATTGGTATATCCCACGCTTAGGACTTTTAAAATTATAAAACTCACCCTATTTGAAAAGTAGCTTTATTCGCAATTAAAATAAAATAATAATAATAATAAAACCTCTGGTCAGATTTGGTGTATCCGACAGGGAGCTAACCTAATTTTTTTGAAACCCTCTCCATAGTCGGAAAAGCCAATTCCCACTCCCTCCTAATTCCCGTATTTTGGTAAAACACCCCTCCGGTATTACCAATTACAAAATAGACATAGTAGTGCCCACAATTTCGGAGCTTAGTTTTAATGCTAATTAATGCATGGATGAAATGACTAAAAGGCCTTTTAGACATGTACACGATAGTTTAAAAAACATTGTTAATTCAATGGTTGCGATTAGTGGTGGACCCGGTTCGGGCCGCCCGGCCCGTCACTGTACGGGCCCGGAACCGGTCCGGTTCTCGGGTCCGGTTCGAGCACTGAACCGGTGGGAGAAGCGGGTCCGGGCTCGGGTTCTGTTTTAATGAACCCGGCCCGGGCCCGGGCCTAACGGTCATTTTTTTTTAAAAAAAATCTTTTAATTTTAAAAAACACATTTTGGCTCAACAGCCACTTCCCAAACGGCTATATAGCCGTTGGGGGGGTACCAGGGGGGTCCGGGGCGATTCGGGTGGGGGTGGGGGGTGGGGGTTAAAAAAAACCTATAAATACTCCTAATTTTAAACATTTTTTCACACCTCTTCTCCAACTCTCCCTAAATCCTACTCTCTACTCATCTCCAATTCTCCATATTCATCTTCTCAAATTCTCTTATTCTCCTTTATATTTTATTTTACTATTTAATAATTAATACTTATACAATTATTATATCTACTTATATATTAATTATCTACTTATAAATACATATACTATATTACTTATATTTCTTATCTACTTAATCTCTACTTATATTTCCTAATACATACATACATACATACATACATACTACATCTACTTAATATATACTTTATATAATAAAGTATTAAATATACTTTATAAACTATTACTATATACTTAATACATAATGATATCTACTTCTCTACTTAATAATATCTATTTTATATATACTTATTTTATAATATCTACTTTTATATATACTTTATAATATCTATTTTATATATACTTATTTTCTTATTTTCCAATCTCCAATTCTCCATTATACTCTAATATTTAATTCTTATACAATTATTATATCCACTTAATACATACATTCTACATCTACTTAATATATACTTTATATATTAAAGTATAAAATATAAGTGTATTACTCATCTTATAGTAATATACTTATATACGGAGTATTATATACTATAAACGTTATATTATATATTACTTACTATAACTAGTATTGTACTAGTTAATTAGTTAATTAGCATTCTTGTTACATTTATCCTTATAATAGTTAATTAGTTCATTACCATTATTGTTACATTTTTCATTATACTAGTTAATTAGTTTATTAGCATTGTTGTTACATTTGTCATTATACTAGTTAATTAGTTAATTAGCGTTGTTGTTACATTTTTCATCATACTAGTTATTTACTTCATTAGTATTCTCATTAATTGTTAAAACAACTCTACTTCAATAAACTAGTTAATTGTCATTAATTCATTATAGTTAAAGTCACATTTTCTTATTTTCAATTTATATTTGTAGGAAGAAATAGTAGTTCAATCATTTAATTAAAGTACTTAACATTTTATTTAAGTAGTTTTTACTAAATTAAAGTACTTCAAAAGTTGGTATAATTTTAATTTGAAAGTCACGCATTAATTCTACTTTGCACTAAATTAGTTTGAACTATTAATTAAAATAGTTTTAATTAGTTGCATTAGTTTTGTATCCATTATTATATTTGTTGTGAATTAATATTTGTTACATTTTTTAGATGGAAGGTGGTAGATATTCGGTTGATTTGGGTAACCTCCAACGCAATCGAAGAAACGAGATTGGGAGGAAGAAATCCCGCAAAGGTAAAGAACTTGCCGGGTCTTCATCTCAAAGTCGAGATGATTTTGAAACGGGTTACCAAAGGCGAGATGGAGATGCGATGTCCGAAGAACAACTCCAACAAGAATTGGCCCGACATCATAACCGCTTTCTACAACAACAACAAATGCCGACGACCATTGACGAAGAGGAGCTTGAGGATGAAGATGCGGAGGAATTGGAACCGGAGACGGCCGAGGAGGAGGGTGCCGGCAGCCACGACGCCGACGCGCCTGCCTCATCCCAAACCGCCACCGGTAATAAAAAAAGTAAGTCTGAACTAATGAAAAATAATTTTGATAAATGGAAGGACCCACAAACCGGCTATTGGCACGCAACTTGCAAGTGGTGCAACAACAATTATAGTTTGGGAACCTCCAGCGGATACGGATCTGCCGCAAGGCATCTTAAGGCAAAGCACCCCGTGGAGTATGCAAAATTAGGCGGCGGAACGGGGAAGCAAACTCAAATATCGAGGTTTGCGAATTCTCAACCCTTTGGTAATTTCTCCTACAATGATGCACAAAATTTGACTGGTATGGCTAACCTAATTTGTGAAGAAAATTTGCCTTATTTGTTTTCTGAAAGTCTTGCTTTAAGAGATTATGCACAAGGTAGTTTAAATCCTCAATTTAGAAATTATAGTCGCAAAACTGTTAAGAAAGAAATAATAAGGCTTTATAATGCGGAAAAGGAAAGGTTACAAATTTTTTTTGCAAACTTTGATGGGCGTGTTACTATTTGTTCTGACATATGGGAGGATGATTTTCATCATTTATATTATTTGGGTCTGACTGCACATTATATTGATGAGGATTGGAATATGCATAAACGTGTTCTTGCTTTTCGTGAATTTAATGATCGTCACACCGCTGGACATATTTATATTTTGATTGAGCATATTTTAATTGAGTATAATTTGATTGATAAGGTGTTTGCTATTGGTTTCGATAATGCTACTAATAATACTGCTGCTATACCCAGATTGCGTGAGTTGTGTGGTGCCAATACTTTGATGGGTAGATTTTTCCATCAACGGTGTGCATGCCATGTTATAAATTTATGTGTGCAAGACGGTTTAAAAGCGTTAGGAGATTCCATGGAGGTAATCAAGGGGGGGATTAGACGTATTTGGGGTAATAGTCAACTTAGATTAAAATGACAAACTTATTTGACTGAAAGAGGTGTGAGATATGTTTCTTTTCCTAAAGATTTTAGTATTCGTTGGAATAGTACTTATAAATTACTTAAAGTTGTTCTTAGATATAAAGAACATTTTCTTGCTTTTTTAAAAGAACATGATAACTATATTATAAACGCGGCTGAGATCGACACTTGCGAAAAAATTTGTAATGTTTTGATATATTTTTTTAATGCTACTGAAACTTTTAGTCATGTTTATAAACCTACCGCAAACCAATTTATTCCAGAAGCTGTTAATCTCGCCGATGCTTTTAAAGAATTTCAAAATGCCATTTTCGTTCATTACTTTTGTGATTCTATGAAGGAAAAGTTTTTAAAATATTATGCGCATATTCCCCATATTTATGGTATTGCATTTATTCTCGATCCTCGTTATAGACTTGCTAATTTGGAAGATTGCTTCAACTTCTATTATCTTGCGTTTTTTGGTGAATTTCCAATGTATGACGATAACCCCATAGATCCGAAAACGGAATACAACGAGGTTAGTACTTTATTTTATGCCTTATTTAATGAGTTTCGTGCACAATATAGCAACGCTCCCCCTCCCCCGTCACGAACATCTTCATCTAAAGGAAAATCGATTTTCAAATCTGCATTTGGCAATCTTATGAAAAGACAAAAACAACTCACGTCACTGAACAAAGTGCATTGAATGAGATTACTTTGTATTTAACATATGAAGTTGATTTTGAAGAAAATGATGACTTCGACGTTCTAGACTGGTGGAAGTCAAAAGAAAGAACGTTCCCGATTTTAGCACGGATGGCTAAGCAAGTACTAATACTATCAATGCCGATTTCAACAGTTGTTGTGGAACAAGAATTTAGTTCGGCCGGCAACGTCCTAACGGCATCTAGATCAAGATTGAGCGTGGAGTCTCTTGAGACGCTTATATGCTACCACGATTGGTTGAAGGCCGCACGTAGAACTCAAGAAATGAGCATCACCCCCTCCCAAGATTTTATGGATGACTCAACAACCGATGGTGGCTCTACCTATGCCGGAGATTCCGATTGATTAGTATTTTAGAATGTATTATAAAATGTATTTTATAGCACTTGTCAAATTTATTTATACTTGTACTTCATATTTCAAAATTGTAAACTTGTACTTCATATTTCAAAATTGTAAATTTGTAGTTGTACTTCAAATTAATTTGTAAACTTGTACTTCATATTTCAAATAAATATGTGTTCACTTTTTCATATGTAGCACTTCTCAAATTAATTAATTGGTTACAAACTAACGACTTAAAATTATTTTTCTAAAATATAAAGCCGGTTTTTAAATTAAAAATACATTTACAATATGTAATTTGTTTAAATACTTATACACCTATTTTGTAACATTTGTAAATTATAAATCAAACCACTTTTCTAAGTACAAATAGTTTTAGTTTTACTTAATTCATTAAATTAATTAATTTATTTTACAATATGTATAACTTAAAAAAAAAATTGAAATCAAACCTCCCAAACGGCTATATAGCCGTTGGGGGCCTTGGGGCTATGGGTGGGGGGCAGGGGGGTCCCGGGGGTGGTGGTGTGGGGAGTGGAGTTAAAAAACATCTATAAATACATCTATTTTCTAACATTTTTCTACACCTCTTCTCCAATTCTTCTCCAACTCTTCTCCATCTTCATCTTCTCTTATTAGCCTACATTCCTACTTATACATATACGTAGTACCATTTTAAATATAGAAAGTACATCTGCCCTTATGCAAAACAATTTTGACAAGTGGAAGGACCCGAAGACTGGACTGTGGTGGGCAACTTGCAGGTGGTCTAAGAAAGAATGTTGCTTGGGGCGTTCATACGGATACAGGATGCCAATAAAACATATGAAGTCCTGTGACAAAGGGAAAACAACAACCAACGGTGGCGGAAATCCCAATTGATATTCATTAGAAAATGTATTTCGTATTGTTATTTTTTCTCAATTCTCAAATGTAGTTCTTATTTCAAATAAATGCACTTGAACTTTGTTTTTAATAGGAATTTGTATAATATATAATTAATTAAAAAAAAATACTGGCCCGGCCCGGCCCGGCGGGTGGCCCGACCTGTGACCCGGGCGGGTGACCCGGTCCGAACCGGAACCGGCCATTGCGCGGGCCTACCATTACATGACCCGAGGCCCGACCGGGCCTTGACCCGGCCCGGGTCCATCACTAGTTTTGATCTATTCTTTTTTGCTTTCCTAAGATTAAGTTCTCACATGAACCTAAATATATATATATATATATATATATATATATATATATATATATATAGAGAGAGAGAGAGAGAGAGAGAGGAAAAACTTCCGGTAAGGTATACCTTACCGGAGCCGCCGTGCGGCCTCCACATTTTGAGGGCCTTACCGGTGGAATTTTTCGATGAAATTTTTTGAGCATGTTCTTCATCAAGTCTAGTACATCCATACCAAATTTCAGAAAACAATTAAATCGGGAAGGCAGTCAAACGATTTTTGGAAGATGACTGTGTTTTATATGTATATAAAGGGTGCAGTTATCTTCCAAAAATCATTTGACTGCCTTCCCGATTGAATTTTTTGCTGAAATTTGGTATGGGTGTATTAGACTTGATGAAAAACATGCTCAAAAAATTTCATAAAAAAATTCCACCGAAAAGGCCCTCAAAACGGGGAGGCCGCACGGCGGCTCTGGTAAGGTATACCTTACTGGAAGAGTTCCCTATATATATATATAGGGTTGCTATTGAAGGCCTGCGTACCACAAGACACATGCAAAATCAAACCTACGTCAAGTCGTCAACTGCCTTAAACCTAGCATTCATATGTCGTACGCATTCGGTACAGATGAGAACGAATGGAGGTCAACCGGCCAAGTCATCAGCGAAACTTCTCTCTGGACGAAGCCGGAGGGATATACGTCGCCGGAGGAGGATCTCGTCGGAGGAGGAACTAAGCCGCTACTGCGCCGGAAACAGAACACCGCCGAAGGGGGGGATCGAACTGTCGGACTGCTTCACGCCGGAAGAGAAGTAGCCGGAGTTGCTGCGAGTGGACCGGACAGCGGCCTGTCGCTGAGTGTTGCCGCCTATCACCAACCTACTGCCGCCACGAAGCCACGCCTTGCTTCTTGCCGTCAAAGGAGTCGCGTCCGCCAGATCGATGAAGAAGATGATCCCTTAGAGTACGTATACTCTCTGCTATAATTTATACTATTGGGCTGGACTGTTTTATGAAATGAAAGTAATGAAAATTTGAATATTTTGGTGGGCAAGCAAACTATTAACTCAGAATTAAGGAGTAAAACTAAAAATGATTAATGTGGACTGATTGAATGTCGTGGCCTCAATCTGGACTTTTAGATTATTATAATATGAGGTGATTAATAAATAAACAAATTATTATGAAGCTTCTATGACGGAAAATCCTACACTGGCGGCTACACCGTCACCGGCACAACCACCACTGTTGTAGGGAGCGTCGGCAGCCAACAAGAAAACCTTTGTTTCAGTTCTTCTTGATCAAGCAGACGCATCACACCCTTCCGCATCTCTGTCTCAATACAAAGGCCTGCCAGCAGCAAACTTTGGTGAGGATGACATCCAAATTCTTGCAGATAGGCATAAACGTTCACTGGTTGGGTATTTCTATAAAGACCGGCCTCCTATGACTACGTTACGTAAGTTATTCGAAATCATTGGTTTTAAAGGGGTTTTCAGTTAGGACTATTGGAGAATAAACATGTACTCATTCGTTTTGATCTTGAAGAGGATTATATCCGGTGTTGTAATCGTCAGACTCGGGATATACATGGACACATGGTTATATTATGAGAGTTACAAAGTGGTCCCCTGATTTTAGGCCTAATGTGAAATCCCCGGTGGTTCCGGTATGGTTGACTTTTGAAGGATTACCAGTTCACTTTCATGATAAAAGAGCGATGTTTGTTATCACTAGTTTGATTGGTAAACCCTTAAAACTTGATATCGCTACTACTACTTTAGCCAGGCCTTCCTTGGCACAGCTATGTGTTGAGTTAGACCTAACTAAGGATATGCCCAGTAAAGTTTGGATACAGGCCGGGAAGACTGGCTTTGCTCAGACTGTTTTATACAAAAATAGGCCATCTTACTGCCTATCATGTCTACATTTGGGACATGAGGCAAGTAAATGCCCTAAAAAATTGGTGCAAGGGGGTGAAAAGGTCTGGACAAATCCTACTACCTCTCAATGGATTGCTAAATCCATACGTAATCATGCCCATAATACTAACACCCAGCAAGGAACAACAGAAACCACAACAAGGAATGATAATACTACAGCCACAAAATATTCAGAAAAAGAGAAAGGGAAAGATATTGTGGTCTTCAATCCTGCTTCCAGGATTGATCTCCAGTATGCGCCATCTACATCAAAGGGTCCTTCTACTTCAGCTCCATCTACTGACATGGGTCCATCTCATAAAGTTCCTGCCACTTCATCTCCAGATCCAATTGTGTTACCAGAGGATTCTGAAACAGATATAGAAGAAGTCTACCATGAGGAGCCTCCTAACCATACACAAGGCCAAACTGCAAAAAGGAACCAACATGAGCTAAGTATGGAAATTGTAACTTCTCAGATACAGCCAGGTAACTTGCCATCAACTTCACACCAAACTGGGATGGAGGAATCTGCCATAGCTGCTGAGGAAGTTCTTGAGCATTTAACTACAAGCAAGGTAATTACAGCAAGTAAACATATTAGCAGCATAAATATGGATTACTTGCTAAACAGTGATATTCCTGGGCTTACCATTTCCAAAACCTGTTAGACTATTAAAGATGACTTTTCCATCCATAATATGGAGAAGGCATCTGATTTTGATCCAGAATTAGCTGCTAAGGAATATGGATCTGATTCAGAGGATCCACACAAATGTGAAGATAAACAAGAGTG